GGGCATAGAACATGATGATATTGATACCAGTAAACTGCTGGAAGAAAGGAATCGTGATTGCCATTGTAAGATGAGGCCGGTACTTTCTTTCAACCAGGTTTTTCCAAGGATGATCCACCTTATTAGAGGGCTTACTAGCTTCCACTAAGTCATTGAACTCCTTGTCCACTTCTTCAATTCCTCGAATCCTCCTAAGGTTCTCGATGGCCTTGTCATACATCCCTCGCTCAATCAAGGAGTTAGGAGTGTCAAACAGGAACAATGGACCCGATAATGATGATCATAGCAGGGATTGTGGCTCCTCCTAAGCTCAACCTCCAACCCCAGTCATCAATTTTGGCAAAGAAATAGTTTACAACATTGGCTACTAATATACCAATTGTGATTGAGAGTTGGAAGACAATATTCAGTGCTCCTCTGTACTTGTATGGAGCCATCTCAGCTAAGTATAGTGGTACTGACTGTTATATGTACACGATCACACAAATTATACATAAATCAGTAATATTATACGGCGTAATTATAAGAGTTATTGAAGAACCATAAAAGTATATGTATAATTAGATTGGTATAAGACTTATAATTCAAATACAAAATTCTTTAGAATACTCTGCAAAAGAGTTAACTTTATCTATGTTTATCAATTATATGAACATAACATATCCAAAATACACACTGTTCGTGACATGTTAAGATAAAAACACGTGAATGTGATTATGTGACTATTAATATTTGACAAAGAACGTATCAGTATAAACAAGTTATATGAATATAAAGCAATAAGACCCATCTAATATTCTTAAGGATTGGAAGTACTTTTAAAAGTTTGAAACATTCTTAAGGAAGTACTTAAGTACTTGCCTGCACTGTCTAATTTGCGATGTGTAATTAATTAGTATGTTAATTAAGTAGTTACCTGATTAGCAAATCCAACACCAAAACCGAGAAGAGCGCGACCAATAATCAGCATAGCTACATTTTGTGCAAAAGCATTGATGATAGCTCCAGAACAAAAGAGAAGACCTCCAAATAGCATGGATCTTCTTCTACCCAATTTTCTTGTCACAGTTGAAGCAATCAAAGAAGCTAACAAAGCAGTAACATATAATGTTGAAGTAAACAATGTAACGGTTTCACTATTAAATTTGCAGTACTGATTTGTTGAAGTGTGTAGCTCTTCTTTCTTGTATACTGATGGGAAAAATTCCTTCAGAAACGACGGCATAGATGTCACACCCCCTAACAAAAAAAGAAACGTACACAACAACACGTTAGGAAAACACGAGTAATAATAACTTTAAGGTCTTTAATCATTAGCTATTTTTCTAAAATGTATGCAGTATTTTATTTTTAGACAGATGAAATATATATTGCGTTGTGTATTACCTGAAATTCCAATATCGTAACCAAAAATCAAACCGCCCATAGCCGCGACAATGCATGTTGCTAGCACAAAAGGTGTTGTGTTTCCGGGGTACTCTTTTTGATGTTGAGGAACAAATCCTCCGGATGGTATTGGCATGTTTTTTTTAAGAGTGAAGAACTAAAGTTTTTAATTTTTAGAGGAGAATTGAAATAAAGAGTGTTTTAACAAATACTCGTAGCTAGTTTTAATTTTAGTTTGGATTATAGAAGAGGGATATGATAATGTTTTATGCAAATTAATGAAGGGTGTATTTATAATCACAAAATTCTTCATTATAATACATGAAGTATGCATATTTTTGGAAATTTTTTTAGAGGAAATATTTTTGGAAACTTGGCATGCCACAACTAGAAAAGTTTACACGTTTGATAGATAATCTAGACGTGGTGCATGCATCAAATATGGGAACTGTAGTCTGTAGACGTAGTTGCCATTTATTTTTTTTTGGACATATTAGTAATTGCCATTATTACTGCTGAGGAAGATGATTGAGAAAGTGAGGAAAAAAAAAAGGAAACAAATATTTGTCAAGTTTCTAAAAAAAATTCATTGGAGTACACTGTAATAAGGGTTTTTTTTTTTTTTTTTTTTTTTTTTTTTTTTTTTTTTTTTTTTTGGTAGTACATTGTAATATTGTTCATTTGTCCTTATTATAAACTAGTTTAAGTCCGGTTTTTACTTAATATAATTATGAATTACTATGTTAGTTTAACAATAATTTTTAAAAAAATCAATATTTTTAATTGAAACAAATACTTGAATTTCTTTTAAAAAAAATAACTTGAATTTTATGTTATATTGATATCAAAAGTTACTCGTATTGATCATTAAACATTAAAAAAAAAACAAAAAAAAAACACAAATTTCATGATTATAGGATTTTATATAAGAATAAAATTCTATGTTATTTATAACCGGTGCAATGTACTTATATACTCCATATGTCCCTATTTTGTTGGCATGTTTTGACTGGCACAATATTTTATAGCATACTTTGACCTACACAAGTGTTTTATACAAATTGAAGTGACTTATTTTTTGTGACAATTAATAATCCAGGTGTTTTTTTATTTTTATTTTATATTTATAGTTATTGAATTGTAGTATTATTATTATAAATAAATCAACAAATATATAATAAAAGTTAAAGTGTGAATCTCGGTTGGAGCAAAAAAACTTTCAAATGAAAAAATACGATGTAAAATGATACGGAGTATGGGAGTAGTACATTATTCTAATAATTTTACCTTATATACGTAGTATATGTTGTTTATTATAGAAAATACATATTATAAAATATATATAAGACATTTTAAAATATTTTCATTAAATGCATATAGAATATACTTAGAATATAGTTGTCAAATTGAAAATTAGATATTATAGAATATATCAATTAATATGCATGAAGATTTGAAAAAAAAAAAAGTGAAAATGGCGGAATTTTTTTTAATCAGAGTCATGTTAGATTCGCTTTTAGTATTATGTTACTGATTGATTTTTTTTTTTTTTTTTTTTTTTTTTTTTTTTTTTTTGTGTTTGCTCTCTTAGATTTGACAAGAATATCTAAAAGTATCTCATTAGAATTATCACATGTTTATCGATTATAATGTACTTGGTATATCTATCTACTTAGTAGTAAGTAACATTGCTATATCTATCTACTTAGTAGGATTAATTTAAAATATGGTTCAAAATCAAGACACCAAATTTCGGGTTCAATTAGGGTTTAGGTTCATAATTTTGCAACCAAATTTATAGATATCACTGATTTCATGATTTGACTCATTTGTAAGGCTTTACGGTCTGGCCATCTCGCATAGTTTTCTAACAGACAAGCCCATTGATAAACGTTTGTTTGCTAGACTCCACATGACCTGAATCAGATAATGTGAAATTAAGAAGTTCCTAATTGACTTTTTTGAACATAAGGAAAAAAAACTACTTGTATATCAAAATTGTCGTAACAAAATAAAAATATGTGAAAATAATATAGTAGAGGGGGGTGTACCACAAATTTAATATTCTTTTTATTTATATGTAATATTTTTTTTTTTAAAGAATTTATATATAATGTTTATTTTATATGTAATGTTCATTTCACCCTTTTATTCTCTCTCTTCGATACTCTGTCTCTCCTCTCCCTCTCTAACTTCTTTCATGATTTTATAGCTTTTATGTGCTTAATTCATCACTCACAAACACATTTTTATTAGATTTAACACTCCAAAATCCGAATTTCACAACCAAACTTTCGGATTTTTCATGATTTGAGAATTTTGGGTATTTTTTTATTTTGGCTAAAGAACTTGCAATGGAGTATCCTACTTGCTTGATTTCCACTATTAATTCACTTTATAAGGGTTTCCTACTCATTTGAGTTATGATTTCTCTTTCTTTGTTCATCTCTGTTTTACTTCATGAATATGAAACTCTAGGTTGTGCCTCAATGGTGAACTCTCTTTACTTGTTCCTTTTACCTATATTTTGTGTTTTGTGATGATGTTTGTTGTTCAGGTGAAGCTTTATTATCATGAAATTACTTGATTGTTTGAATTTTTTGGCACTACCATTGTTATATGTAATTCATCATCTTTTTCCATGGGTTTGGATAGTAGCATTTATATGTAATGTTCTTTTATTTATAAGTTATGTTCTTTTATTTATATGTAATGTTATTTAATTTATAGGTAATGTTCTTTTATTTATAAGTTATGTTCTTTTATTTATAGGGTAAGTTCTTCCGGGGGTAAGTTCTTCCGGGTGTACCATGCGCTTGGTACACCCGTTTGCACGAAACAGTAACTGAAAAATATGTGAGTCCAACATAATTTACAACTATTATGTTCTGATTCATTTTTTATAGACGACCACAAAAGAGATTCAAGGGGACATTTCTTTGCTGTGAAAGGCTTTACCTTCTAAGGTGCATTGTTTGTTTATTTTTGAAGAGCGAGACCTGACGTTAGGAGGAATAATGAGATATTAGGACCTCAACTCTCAAAGAGTCCCTATTATTTATTATCGGGCGACTGTCATATCCCGCATATAGTGTAGCAAATTGAAGTTCCATTGTGAACAATATTATAGAGAAAACCAATTTCTAAGAATAAACGAGCTACTCCATCCTATCCTCATCGACCCACCAAACAAGAAATTGGCAGAAATTGGATAAATTTGCAAGCACCATTTCTCAATCCCCATTTTACTCTTTAATAGTCGAATTTTTTAATACTTATTTGGAAACCTAATGCCCAATCGTGGGAATAAATAAAAGAATAACAAACCAAAAACTTGTAAGATTACAAACCTTCAACAATTGATCAACTGTTGCCTTTTTCTAAAAGCAATGCAAAATACTCGTATTTAGATTAGATAATAACGGCCCGAACCTTATCATCCCTATTCCCTACGCAATCTCAAGATTCGTATAATTCAAAGTCAAAAGTTGACTTTCACAATCATGAAAGATACCCATATTTTTTTCTTTCTTAATTATATTTATCAACCAATAATCAATTACATAAATCACATATTCACATTATATGCGAATTTATACTCTCTGAATATTCTCCTATTCTTTTTGGTTTGTTATTCTTTTATTCATATAAACAATATTTTCCTAAAAGCAAAAATGCTATAAATATAAGAAATTAATAAAAGGGGAGGAAAATACAAAATTTTGGGGATAATTTTCTCCAAAATTTCAAATTGAATAGAAATGGCTCCATTTCAATCTTCCTCTCAATTTGGTTCAATTTTATGCGTTTTTGTAGTTCTGGGTTTGATTTTAAACCTAGCTTTGATTTGTCATGGAGGAAAAACAAGCAATTTTGTCAGAAAAGTGGAAAAAACAATTGATATGCCTCTTGATAGTGATGTCTTCTCCGTTCCTCCAGGCTACAATGCTCCCCAACAGGTTTCTTTCTTTCTCTTCATTAATCATTACCCGTATTTGTAATTAAAGGCCGAGGGCATTGATGTAGACGAGATTTGATCCGAGGTCTTGTGTACCGTCCCGAGTCCCTACATTCACATAATTGCTTATTTTATGATGAAATTAATACCCATTTAGCTGCTTGTTAGTTTAATTTGATTTATAATCCAAAGTTTGCATCTTTTCACTCAAATGAATTATGGGTATGCCTTAATTTGGGATAGAATCATTCCATGAATTATGAAAATTAATTAAATATATTTTGGATTTTGTATTGTGTGTGAAGGTTCACATTACTCAAGGAGATCATGAAGGAAAAGCAATGATTGTTTCATGGGTAACAATGGATGAACCAGGTTCAAATGAGGTGGTTTACTGGAAAAAGAATAGCGAGAATAAGAAAACTTCTAACGGCAAAATGTCTAAGTACAAGTATCATGATTATACTTCTGGGTATATTCATCACTGTACGCTAAAAAATTTGGAGGTTAGATTTTGAACCTTTTTTTTTTTTTTTTTTTAATTCAGTACTTATACTAGAAAGTGGTGTAATTATTTAATGTTTGCTACGGAGTAACTAATTGTAAATTAATGTTTGTTGAGAGTCTGCAATTATTAATAGTGTTACCTAATTTGCTAGTTCCCCACGAACTATGATCTGAAACGTATGAATTGGTACAATAGAACAATTTTCGTGTCGTATTTGGTATATGTTACCTGTTTGTAAAATATCCTTGTTGTGAATCAGTACTATACATGCATTTTTATATCAGACATGGAGTATTATGGAGTATTAATACATTAAATTAGAACATTAATTAATTAGCATATTGTATTTGGAATGTTTTGCAGTATGACACTAAATATTTCTATGAAGTAGGTGTTGGACAAACCCCCAGAACATTCTGGTTCAAGACTCCACCTAAAGTTGGTCCTGATGTTCGTTATGCTTTTGGTCTTATAGGTAACTATTTTAGATTTTTGGTATTCATGTATCCTCGAGAATAACTATACTTTCTCGATTTTGTTTAATGTAATGAGCAATATGATTGCTTTTTGTACATGATATACGTCTGAAGTCCATTACCCTGATTTTTGCAGGTGATCTTGGACAAAGTTATGATTCAAATGCGACTCTAACTCATTATGAACAAAACCCGATCAAAGGGCAAACTGTTTTGTTTGTTGGGGATCTTTCATATGCAGATAATTACCCTAATCATGATAATAACAGATGGGATTCTTGGGCTAGATTTGTTGAGAGAAGCGTCGCTTACCAGCCCTGGATTTGGACTGCAGGGAATCATGAGATTGATTTTGCTCCTGAAATTGTATATACTTTAACCTTGTTTCCTTTAAACTTATTCTTTGGAAAACCAATTAAGTTAAACAAATTAAGCTTCTAGAAGCCTGTTTTCTTGCATCTATATAGTTTCCATATTCTAACTTATCTTCAGTTTGCACACTGCTAAGCTATACAGAATCACTTACAATCAGCTATGTTGTAACAGGGTGAAACAAAACCTTTCAAACCATTTAAGAACCGATATCCCACACCTTACAAAGCATCAAACAGTACAGCTCCGTTCTGGTACTCAATCAAGAGAGGCCCTGCTTACATAATCGTTCTATCATCATATTCTGCATATGGTAAAGTCCTTAATCTCCTTCTGAAAGTAAAAAGTATACAAGAACATTGAGAACTTTGGCTTTTATTTACGCGATCTAGCAGCTTGAGAAGTTGATGGGTCTGTTTTAAGGATAGTTCTAAAAGTTTGAAGCTTATTTATTTTGTATAATAATCATCTCAAATATGGAAACATATTGGTTGTTCTGTAAAAAAAATGGGAATATAAGTTTTAGTATTGCTCCCGAATTTCAGACTAATGCTTGGACAGTGTCACTCTGCATTTTAAAACTTCTCAGTTCTTGCATAGTTACAATGACCATCAAATTTGAAGCATCATGTTTGATATTTAAAGCCTTGCTTGTTTTATGACTCTTTGTGTTTGGAGAATAAAACAACTCGCTCTATCGGCAGTTATACTTTCTAATTATTATGTCTGTAATTACTCCTTTGCAGGAAAGTACACCCCGCAGTATAAATGGCTTGAGGAGGAGTTACCAAAGGTTAACAGGAATGAGACTCCTTGGTTGATTGTTCTGGTGCATTCTCCATGGTACAATAGCTACAATTATCATTACATGGAAGGAGAGTCGATGAGAGTCATGTATGAGCCCTGGTTTGTCCAATACAAAGTTGATATCGTCTTTGCTGGTCATGTTCATGCTTATGAGAGATCTGTAAGTTCGATTTGTCTTTACTTCACTAAGGCTTCATTTCTTTTACCCGGAAGCCCCTTATTTGAACTTATTATTGCATTTGCCCTTGTCTGAACTAATTTGAACGTATCTAAACTAATTGTAGTTGTGACTTGAACTTGGATAGTCTTTATTTGAAATTATCGACCCTTCAATTTTTTTATTTTTTTATTTTTTCCTTCTGATTAGGCCTTATTTTTCCTGAAAATTAATTGTTTAGGCAAAAGAACCAATCCAACTGATAGAAATGAATTTACTAGTCTGCCTTTCCTATTTTTAACTTCTGAAAAGAAATGCAGAGACGTGTATCGAATATTGGATACACCATTGTCAATGGAGAATGCAGACCAGTTGAAGACCAATCTGCTCCTGTTTACATAACAATAGGAGATGGAGGAAATCTAGAAGGTTTAGCAACAAAGTAAGACTACTACACCAATTTATTGTGTTTATTAATCGAATGTTATTCCTTATTTTATCCCCTCTTAAAGTGGCCCTAACATCTCATACATAAATCTGCAGTATGACACAACCACAGCCATTTTACTCAGCTTTTCGAGAAGCCAGCTTTGGACATGCCATTCTTGATATTAAGAATAGGACTCATGCTTACTATAGTTGGCACCGTAATCAAGATGGTTCCGCTGTGAAAGCAGATTCAATGTGGTTTTTCAATAGATTCTGGCATCCTGTTGCCGAATCTGTTAGTGCTGTTATTTGATACGGAGTACTAAATATTCTTCAACATACTGCAGGTGCCTAGTTTTCTAATCAATTTGTTCTGTCTTTTGTTAGGTATAATTGTATAACCTATAATGATCAGAAGGCATAAGATGTATACTAATGGTAGAGTAATAAAGGTTACATAAAGCATATAGTTTTCAATTCCCCTGTATTCCCTTTAAGCTATGTGAACCTGATGTTATAACTCATAAGAAAACTTTCTGCCTGTTACTTGTTGATGAACAAGTAAATTCCGCTAATGAACAGAAAAGTAGGCAACGAGCTTCTCTTTTATGGTAAAGGAAACCCTTGCATTTCTCTGAAATTCTAAGGAAGCAAAAATTATATTGTAATCATATTTAGCTTATGGTACCAACTGTGTCCACACCTACATGTTAATTGAAAACAGAGTTTTTTAAGGACCCAGTTAAGGAACTAGAATTCTACATCATTTTGTATATTGTTTATACGGGAAAGGATCATAGGCAATACACTAAAAAGTGTCCGTAGATTCATCCCCTACGAGGCTGCAACTTTAGAGTTTTAGCGATAGAGAAAGTGTTTCCGGTTCTTCAAACTCTGCTGGAGGGGGTTCATTCAGATAAAAAATCTTTGCTTTATTGACGGCTAAGAGAGCTTGCACAATAATCAAATTCTTCCCATCCTTCTTTTGATCATCCACTTGGGACATACAGTGGCTTGTCTCTTCAAGAGTTTGAGATCCTTCGTGCACCATCCGTGCCAGAAAGCCTTTGGGTTTCCATACCCTTCTCTTCCTGTACCTTTTCTTTTTATGGATTGAGCTTTCGGTTTCTGAGCATGTCACTGAAGATAGGAGCTCAAGGTTTGAGGTCATTGAGGGGGAAAAAGGCAGTATTTCTTGGTGCTCAGGGATATGTTTCTTGGCAAGAGGTGATGTGGATTGTGTTTGATTTGGGTTATAAGGGCATAGGAATGTAGATTTTAGTGAGCTTGACATGCTGAATGCAGAGTTGAGGTCTTGTTACACACTTTGAATAACTAGGGTAGGAAAAATTTTCGTCATTTTGGTCATTCTAGGATGCAGCCATGCAGGTAATGAAGACCTACAAAATTTCTAAGAAATTTTGGTTGTCATTTGGCATATTTGGGAGTGATTTTATGTTTGTTGAAGGAAGGAAAGGGGTGGTATTCGGTAACCAGAATGACAGTCATGGTGGTGTAAGTGGCGCCATGGTGACTCTTGGTGGTTGTATCTTGTATGGGGGATGAAACAGAAGAGGAAAATTAAGAGAATTAACTTTGCAATAAAAAAAATTTAACTGTAATTATGAATACTTCAGTTCTATTTCACTTGGGATTGGGCTAGGCAATTTGGCTATTTTGCCTATTTATAGAGCTCAATAGAGGCCATTGCCGCGTTTGCTCTGACATGGTAAAATTAAGTATTTCATCGTTAAACAAGTATGCATGTCAATTAGCTTAGTTGGTTAAAGTCTTGAGTCTTGATATATAACGCTCGAACTCTAATTCCATTTACATACATCATCTTCCTGTTTGAACTCTTTGCATAAAGGTGATTAGATGATGGACCAGGCCGGACCAAGGCCAAAATCAGCCCGCTTGGACAGGCTGGGCTGAACTTTATCAGCACTAGGACTTTACACCAACAAAAAATGCTCAATAAATGATCTCACTCACTGTAGCATTTATGGAAGGAACAAAAACGAGAACAATGGCTCAGATGTTCAGCTTGACTATGGAAAAATCTCTCGCTTGACTTTTGACTGAAGAACAAAATTAATAGCAGTTCGTGGCTTATTAGAATACATAGAGTTTAGAGAGGAAGAAAGAAGAATATAAGACTTTGGTTGGTCATTAGGAGACATGCACTTATTTCGAGTACTTGGGTGATGGTTTTATACTGTATTTCTTTGTTTTGACGAAAAACATTTTTCTAGAAATGATTTATAATGAAGTATGATTTGAAAAGCACAATCGGTAAAAATAATATTTCTTTATTTTTTATAAGAGAAAATATTATAGAGAAAGGAAAATACAAGCGGAAGGGAGAAGATGGATGGGGAGAAAAGAGGTTTAAGGAATAGGAACGTTGTAGTCTAATGAGCTCAAGAACTTTGAATTTGGGACTTTCTTTTGTTTAATCCATACCATTTTCGCACAAAAAGGACATCATTGTCTATAATAATGTATGGGTTATATATACTTGTAGTTGCAAAGCCAATCATTTCTTATGCAACCCTCTAACATCCTCAAAATTCTTGGTAATTGATAGAGGTCCTAGAGAATGATTTGGTCATATTGATTCGCTACTGTTGTATAAGAAATTTTATGCAAAGTCAACATAACACTTAAGTATATCTCAAACTTAGTAGTACAATGTACGTAATAATTCTTTTTATTAAGAACAAATATTTGAAGGCATTTTGCTACAAATATATCTCAAATTCTCAATCATATATCAATCATACTATAAAATGTTGAATATTCTTTAAGACATTCAACCTTGTACATATATTATGTACTTTATTATATGAGTATATAAATAAACAAATCTTGTTACTTATACATTTCCATCACATGGAAATAATACTTTGAGTTATCTCTTGCAAACAACCCCACGTCCATTCATCCCACTACCACAATTCATGCTAGCAAGCTCCATAGTTGGCAATGAAGTCTCTTCTTGAGCACCAAAAAACCTGGAAGCCAAACAATCCGTGGCGAAAATGCTACTACTAGCATACTCTTTTTCTCCTCCCATAACCGGCATTGATACACGAGTATTAACTCGGCTCACGTAATCATTCGCATAAGTTTTTCCTAATACACCATCAACATTTCCGGTTAATGATAGAAATTTGAACCCGAGATCAAGATGAGCAAACCGATCCTCATCGGTGATACCATAGTTGTGCACCCTTGAGTCTTCGTCGGTAATAGGTACAACTTTAGCCGTGACCTTGAGTTTTCCTTGGACTTCAACGATAAGTTCGTTGGTCTTACTTGTTCTTGTTATGGTGACTAAAGGAGTGGAGGTGGATGACCATTGAGAGCCTTCGGTTTCTTCTAGGTATATTGGCTCTCCATTGAAGGCCAAGGAAAGACGGTCATTGGCATCATCCCATACGGAGGTCTTCTTAGCGCCTAAGAAGAGACGATGGTTGTCGAAGAGGACTCCAATGGATTGAACCCATGTAAAGTCACGTCCCATGTTTGCATTTCTTTTACCGATGAAGTGTCCGTTGATGTGGAGGTTGGGGTCGGTCACTAGGCAAAAGTCTCTATCCTTCTTTCCATGGAAGTAGAAGGTGATCCCGTCTCCTCCTATGAAGCGAGGGTCTTGACATACGGCTCCAGGATAGTCACAGTCTACGTTGTACACAAACAAACAATTAGTGGCTAATTTAATATGGAGTAGGAGTTAAACCATAAACAAAAATACAACTAAGCTACAGAACTAATTTAATGACAATGTAGAGTAATTAAAAAAAAATCTAACATTTGGGTTGAAAATTGGCATATGTAGTGTAAATGTAGTATGGTTTAATAGATAAAAAAAACTTACTGCAGACAGGCTTGCAAGTGACACAATCGACTTGACATGAAGTAGGGCAATTAGCAGGGCATCTATGCTCTTGGTTATAACATTGTCCGTACTTCTTGTTGTTACATTTAGCTCTCTTTCTATAGCCAGCATTAGAGGATGGAGGAGAAGATGTCGAGGGAGTAGGCTTTGAAGGCGATGATGGAGTAGAAGGAGAAGGTGTTGGTGCCTTAGGAGTTGGTGGGGTTGATGGCTTAGGAGACGGTGTTGATGGTGTTGGGTAATATGATGTATGAGAGTTTTTTGGTCCTCCCGTGGATGATGATGAAGAGGGGGAGGAAGAAGAGGAGGAAGAACCAGAAGATGCAGCAGCGGCAGCAGCAGCAGCAGCTGCTGCGGCTGCTGATGATGCTGATGATGTTGCCGATGAAGTGGCAGATGATGCTGCAGATGACGCAGCAGATGATGCAGCAGATGAAGCAGCAGATGATGCAGCGGATGATGCCGCAGATGATCCCGAAGGTGAATGATGTTCACTTGATGAAGTAGAAGAACAAATTGGCTTACATGAAGCACAATCTACTTCACAACTATCAGGACAGAATTTAGGACAAACATGCTCTAAGTTATAGCACATCTTGTACTCCTTTTTATTACACGACGCTCTTGAAGGATTGTTAGCGATTCCTGGGGGAGTACTTGCTGCCTCAGCCATGATAGCCAAAAACAAAACAAAGAACCCAAGATAAATCATCTTGGGCAAACCCATTCTCTTAGTTGATTTAGCACTAATGAATATTGTAAGTAATGCTTATGATGATTAAGTTATAATTACTAATATTCAAGGGCAGATGATGATATATCCTAAAACAAACAACTGCTTTTATAGAAGTGTAGGAACTAGGAAGTGTAGGAAGTCAAGCTTGATGATTTCATAATTAATATTAATTTATTATGTTCCTTAATTGTTGGGTCAAAAGTTAAATATACTCCTTGAAGAGTTGAAGATAAACACATGCAATTATCATATAAGAATAAGCTTTAAAATCAGAAAATTATATTTCTATGTATCTAAAGTGTAAACATAAAATGGACCGACCTTTTGTTTGATTGTAAATATTGCCATGGTGCAGCTTTTTGCATTTTACACAATATTGGAATCACTTAAATATGCAGGAAGAAAAGGGGTATTTCTTTAATTTGACATTTAGCCAAAGCTTACTTGATTAATGAGAAATAGTTATATTAAATTGAAAGGATTCTTGACTATTAATGAAGTTAGTTATCAAGTTGAGGGGAAAAATATAAATGTTTATCTGTAACAGTGATTAGAAGATTAGCAAATGATACTTTGTCTTGCAAAAGGAAATGCTTAGTAAGCGTAATGCCTAGTTTACGGGGTTTTGGGTGTGGAGGGGATTTAGGGATGAAGCTATTGCCTTTACCGCTATTGTACACATGGTTTCTAAGAATAGCATCAAGATTGATGGGTGTGGTAAGTGGTAACTAGGGTGTTCAATAATCTTGGATCAGGTTTGGTTCGCCCATTGGTTCAACCAGCATCAACCCACTATTAACCCGTGGCCTGCATTCTGGGGCGGACCCACTTATTATCATTGTGGGTCAAAGGACACACTATTTTTTTTTGGAAAAAAGTTACTATACAACTCAATTTAGACCTCCAGTAAATTAAAATATAAATATTTCATCTTTTTATCTCGGTTCCACCTCACTCACAAATTGCCAAAAACATTTTCAATTCCTCAAACTAATAATCAATAGTTCAATACCCCTCTTTTGCTTTCTCTCTCCTTTCACCATGCCAATTCACCAAGTCAATTTACCAAGTCAGTTAAACCCATTTTTAATGATTTATAATGAACACCAATTCATATTTCATACAAGTATAAGATAAAAAGTCATTTGAAAAATTGAAGTTTCTAAAAGGGAACAAAAACAAGGGAGAAGATATGAATAAATAGTACGAAGCTAAGTAATTTGTTAAACGAAGATTAAAATTTAGGTATGACAGTGATGTTAGATTATTGATGAAATTACAGATTTGAATTAAGTTTAAGAAGAGAAAGAACTCTAGTTTATAAGTGAAATAATGGAGAAGAACCCTACCACAAAAGCCGTAGCTTTTACAGAAGTTCGCGGTGGATGTGTGGCGGTTGCAGCGGCGGTGCTGTGAACGAGGGGATAGGGGTCATGGACTCAAGGTGGTGTTGGGAGAAGAGGCTAAGAGGGTATTCCTTCTTTCCTCTCCTTTCAAATTAAGTAGTCAATCTACTTGCTTATTTTTGTTGAATTATTATTTGTTGTTCGTATACTGTTATTTTCATTCAAAGAGTATAAGGTATTGTTCTTATTTGATGATTATAGTTGATTTTATTGATGATAAATTTCTCAATTCTTAATTTACGATTGATACGAAAAAAAAAATGATTGGCATTGAAATTGTTAGTCAATTTTTTATTTTTTTTTGAAGAAATTGTTTATCAATTGATATTTGCAGTTAATTTTTTTTAATAGGAATTAGTATATATATTACGATGTATTATTAGTTTGATGTAATTGATTAAATGATTCAAGTTTTTATAGTTGGACAAAAGTACATTGCTTTATCTAATTCACATTGAGACTTAAATTTCATGAAAAAACAAATATATGTGGGATATTTCAAATTTGTTTTTAGGTACGGAGTATTAGCTTGGATATTATCGTGAATATGAAAAGTTGTGAGCTATAAGTCTCAATTTATATATTTATCCATGCCTTTGTTATTGAATTATATGTGGTCGGTAAACGTTGGTGACACACTATCCGTTAAATCCTGGATCTGCCACTGCTTGCATTGCATTGGCAATATACAAAATGATCCTCTTTTGACCCAACTTGTTATCAATCCACACCAATTAACTATTGATCCACACCCAACTCGTCCAATAACCAAATCTAAACATGCATGAGGTTACATAAGACCCACTTTTTTGGATACTTTCACAAAGATTTCTTTATAAATTACTACTCGTATAAAAAAACCAAAATCAACAATAGTAGTGGTGGGTGTAACATCAACATGAACAACCCATGCATCATAGACAATGGTTGGTGGGTATGTGTGATAACTCAATAAAGGATACCCAACACCTTAATAGGACCCGAAGATGCCATGTTGGTGAAATGAACAATCTCTTCAGTTCTAGCTAGTACATCTCAACATGTTTCCAAAATAGCCATATAATTGATCAATTTAACTGATTCTCGGGATTTTATAGACTTATTGGTAGGTTTGTTATGATTTAAAACCAATTATTATGACCATAGAAGACACCATACACATCCACTCCAAATTTGAAAAATATTCTCAAATTTGGTCCAAAAACATGGATTATAACATTACTTTTGTAGATAGAAAATTTCATGTTTTCCTAAAAAGAAAGAGTGCTGGATGCTTCCATGAATCCCATGAGGTCACTTAAGTATTTGGAATTGTTCACTTTATCTTTTAACTATCATTTTAGACACTTACAAACTCACCTCTTGTCATTGACTTAGTAATTTATCTAACCGTTTAGTGGGAATACATAATTCCAAACAACATTATGTGATCCCATGATGCACCTCCCACAGTCCCACCTATACACCTCACATGACTTAGGATGGCCACATGGATAATTGAAATTATCCACTTTGCCTTTTAAGTTTTAACTACCAAATTAGTTGATTACATACTCGCCATATTCATATTACTTGAGTTCGAATAAGTTTTAATTCGAATTACTAAGTTTTTTTTTTTTAGGGAAATTTAATTTACTAAATTATAAACTTTAAAGTAATTATTAAAAATTACCCAAATTCAAATCACAATTAAAATAAAATAAAATAAATTTCAATAGATGACAAGTAAATCAATTAACTCAAGATTACAGACTTTACAATAGTACGACCCCACAGAACAGATCCTATCCCGGTAAGGTCGTAAACAAAACACGATCCCAAACAACAAATCGGAATTTAATTTTATCAGCTCTTTTTCCCTACTAGACAAAATTGTATTAACCCGATACTAGCACTAGCAGCGCTCATTTCCGTGTTCCCATCGACCACCACGTTGTCATTGGCGTTTTCTCTATTTCTTTTTCATCTCGTCCTCTTATCCCTCTCACTACTCCACCTTAACTATCTTCCCTAACTTCCTTCTTCTTCATCAATGGCGCCAATCCAACAACTCAAATCCCAAATTTCACTTTAATTCATCACATCAATCTCATTCTTCCTTAATCCCAATTTTCAATCTCAATTTCCCCCCAAAACCAACCATGTTTTCTGCAAATCTAAGCACTTCTCCTTCCTTAATCACTCCGAAAACTTCAACTTCAAATTTAAAACCCTACTTTCTCTCTCCTCGTTCTGTCACAATTCAATCACGTGCCCCCGATTTCTCTGCAGCTTCTTCTTCATCTTCTTCTCCTGATTGGTTTCAATTTCCCGATATTTCTGGACCTCGGATTCCCCGAGAAAACGACGCCGTTTCAGAGGGTAGCAGCAGCAGCAGCAGCCGAGATAGCAATGATTCTATGTTGAATGGGAAGAGAGAGAAGAAATGGTCGAGAAATAGAGAGAGTTATCTAAGGGATGATTCTGAGCCTCTTCCTCTTCCTATGACTTTTTCCGATATTACCCCTACTTCTCTTGAGGAAATTGATCGTCGTCTTCGTTGTGATCCTCAACTTGAGGTAGATTCTTTATTAATTGATAAAAAAATCTCATTTTTAGTAAATTTATTATTGTCAATTGTATGAAAATTTGGGTTTGGAGGTAAAGATTTGATATTTTTGATAGTGACATTAATATTTTGCTTTTGGGATATTTTGAGGATAAAATTGATATTTTTTGTTTATGAAAGATTGTTTTTTAGGACTCTATAAAAGTGCGAGAAAGGGTGATGATGTAGATGGAATTAAACCCATTCTATACTTTACTAACTAGGGTAGCTAATATCCTACACATTATTAATTAAATTGAGGATGTAAACATTAATGGTTGAATACTAACTAGGCTAGCTAACATTTAATTTGAATTTCGAGTTTGAAGTGTTTAGTTGATTTTCTTGATATTTTTAGGGGTCCCTCCTATACATATAATTTGTTAAGGCATGATTGTAGTGCACCTAATATGATTTAGTGTGGCATTTGGAGCCTTGGAGGATATCAATGTGACATTGTAACTTGGCATTAGTACACCCTATGCTTTTGATTATTGTTAGATGGAGTTAACAGATATGGTGTATTGATGGAATACGTGTTGATTACTGAAGGTATGTGCGGAAATGATGTATGGGAAGATATTGGGATTAGTTTTGTAAATATGGTATATTGTGACAAAACTAATCTTGGTCTTTCTATGTATTTTATTGGAAGATATAGCAAGCATTGTTATTTGGAGATGAATTGCACATTGTAAACCAATTGACTTATTAGCCTCATGAACAAGGGAATTTGGAGTTTTCCATCTTATATGTTATCTTGTCTTATTCTTGTTTTGGGGACTTTAGGATTGTAAAGTGCCTGTTTTTGAGTGGGTGGGGAAGTGTCGAAGTTGCCAAGGATCAGGGTATGTCGATTACTACAACAAACGAGGGAAGACTACTTGCAAATGCATACCATGTATGGGAGTCGGTAAGATTCTGGAATTGTTCTGTCTTTTAGCTTAATTCTAAATAGTATTTTTTTCAAGGGAAGTTTAGTCATAGCAATATGTATGAATTTCTATTCACCAAATTTTATGTATTGTTTAGATGGATGAGTGGCAATGTTCCTAGATATGGATTAATTAATAAACAATGTATGTTTGGCTTTCGTATGTGGCCTCTCTTGATAGGTTAAGAATAGTAACGAAACCAGCTTTTCTTTGAAGATCAAAGCTTCATAGCAAGAAAAAGTGTATACAGATAAAAGGATAAACAAAAGTTTAAAGTTTCTCTTGTCCCTAACAAATTATGAGGGAACTGTAGGTCATGCAATGCTTCTTAAGATATATGTTCATAACTGTGTGTCTGAATAGCTTTCCATGAGATTGCTTTCTTTTGACCTAGGAAGTATAGAAACTTCTGGGATATAAGGTTTCCTGTTCCCAAAAGCTCATTTGTTTCCATGCTGATGAAGTCCAGAATTGGCTGGGAGCTTGGGACTTAAGGTTTTCTAGTTTCTGAATGCTTCCTTATCTGTGCTACATAGCTCTTTATAAATTGTTTATATTCATTTTTGCATTCTGTGACAAGTAGTCCAATGCGGAAGATTTGTGTTTAGTGCTCATAATTGTAATATGACTACTACTTTGCTGCAGAATTCCTTAAGTCATTCCTTTTAGTTCCATTCCTTTTAGTTCCTATTATCATCTTCATTCTTTCTCTTCACAATGCCACCACAATTTCCATCTCTTCTCAATTCCCTTAGGCACTGTCACTGGCACATTGCAGGTTATCCATCCTCCACCCAGGTGTAAGGTGTAATTTACTAATTTTTACACTTGGGTGTTGGATGGAAATTGTGGTGGTGTTGTGAGTTTCTGGCATCTTGTAAATTTGTCTTTGGGTAATACATAGGTTATAGCTTCTCTCTGTATCATCTCTTCTAATTTCGAATAACTTGGTTTGCTATAATCTTCTGTTACTGGTGTATAGTTGAGCTTGTGTATTGCTTTATTGGAAGGTAAATATACATCTTGTAACTCATTCTGTATATCAATTCTTGGCTGCAGGATATGTTCAAAAGATATCAGCCCGGAAGGAGTTTGAATCGATGGAGGATTAAAAACCACCTTGATCTCAGTAGAAACTTGTTAGTTCTTCTAGCTTCAATGTTTATGTACATTCAAGATTATTCTGATGAGAAATGTTCCTATACCCTTATTTATCAGAACAGATTTACAGAAAAAAAGAACTTTTATGAATTTTGTTATGGAATATTTAATGAAAATTTTCTAGTATCTGATCTTACTATTCTGGAAATATTAATTATATTTGTTCACAATCTTTAAATTGGAATGCAACCTGGGATAAAACACATATATGACCTCGTGCAACTCACGTCTACAGATCATGTACTCTTCATTTTGAATAGAAGTATATTTTATTGCCATTCCTGTTAATTGTTCTTTGTAAGCAAACAGCATGTAAGTGGCGATTTCGTCGAATTTGCCCCTGAAGAGATGGTCACAAATGCTTGTTATTGTCATTTCCACAGTTCTACCTCTTGCTGTTTACTCAGTCTTCAGTTTGTATTGCTGGATTGTTCTTTGATGTGTTCATACTTCAACCCTGTCTGACAAAAGTGACAATGAATACTAAAGCTGAAACAAAAGCAATGTATAGCTGTTTTCAAAGGCTGATTGATGGTTGAGATATTTTGTGTTTATTTTAATCCACAATAACATCATTCACCTACCTCTTTAACATGTCCTTTCTTTCTCTTCCTCCTTTTGGGAGAATGTAACTGGTAATTCAAGCCTTCAAGGAAGCAGTATTTGGCTGTCTCATCTCCAGACCAGGGTGTGGTTTGAGGAAGTCTATAGCGATTTCGCTATGTATACTTGTTACACTTCATTTATCAAGAAGATTGACACTTTGACATGTATACAAATATCCATGGCCAATCCCATTGTAGTTGTTGCTGCTGCAGTTGCTGTCATTGTCTCCATGGTGTTACTTATATTGCTGCTGCTTCTGCCACAGCCATTTGCCTTCTCTGTAATGTTTCATCTGATAGTAATATGACTTATAGGAGTAGTAGCAGGTTTTGAAAGGTAGTACCTTCGGATAACTACCTTAAGAATGTCAAGCATAGTTTCCTAGGCCTTAATCTGATGTGTGCATGTTTCTGTCAAACCTGAAGTTAATCAGATGCCTTCTGGCTTCATGGAATGCTTTGTTGTCTAGTTTGGTACTCCAAACTCTGTCTTAACAAGTCACGGGGTATAAGGTTTTCTGGTTTTGGAGATTGACAAGGTATCTTGTTGTAATGGTAGTGTTAGGAACCGTAAGGGGTACATCTAGGAAATGAAATGTATGAAAAATTGAAAAGATGATGATTATTTGCAGTTTTCTTTTTGTGGAAAGTGCTATGAATTTTGTACTATTTTTTCCATAATTTTTATTTTTTTGGGTTACAAAATGATACAATTATTACCATTGTCAGTCTATCACCATTAAGCATCGATACATAATACATATGAAGGTATTAGTTTCTTAAAGAAGTGTAAAGATTAAAATACAAATAAAATTTTATTTTCTCACCATACTTTATCAATAAGTATATACAAAACAAATACTCATGATCGATCTTGTTTTAGTTTAAAACTTTTTCATAACTAGGAAAGCCTACGCGCGCGACATAGTTAGTTTTTATGGTTGAGTTTAATAGCTTGTTTTAACACCCAAAACTTATTGAGTTAAGCTTTTGAACACACACTAAGAAATTGATTGACAATCATATCCGTGACTCCTTGAGTGGATGTAGAAACGTTGTTTCACTTTAAACGGAGCTGTGAGGCTTTTGTTGTGAGTTATAATATACTTCTATACTTCTTCCATCATTTTTAGTTGCAATACTTGATAATTTACACTATTTACATTTTATAATTAGTATTTATTGTCTTATATTGAACAAAATATAATCAGTGTAATCTTTAGATTTTTTTTTTCGTATTTCTATAATTAGATATACTAATATCAGTTTATACATTAGCAAACGTGAAAGTCAAAAGGTTATAACTAAAAGTGAACGGAGAAAGCAATAAAAGAAATAATGTAATTAGGTGATGAGTTAAATAAATGAGGGAGTGACTTAGTGGATATTTAGAGAAAATAGTACGGAGCAACATAGTATAAAGCTTATAATTTAGAGGTTGATATGAGCAAAGAACCGCCACCATCCAAACTGCAATGACAATGAATAATACAATATCCCTCGCCGCCCATAAACCCAAATGATTCCCAGCTCCTTCCCCCACCCAACGACGACCTCTTGAGTCTTGATCTATCATTATATCCAGCACCTTCTCCACCCCTTCACAAGGATTATTATCAGGTTAAACGCTTTTGCCTTCTGACTCAACATCAGATTCAACAATCTCCTGCTCTTCATCACTTAAACTGATTATTAAATTCACAATAAAGCTAGATTGTGAAATTGGTATTTAATAATAATAATAAAAAAAAAAAAAGTTTTACCTCACCTTAGAAGCTTTTTCAAGCTCGGTAGGCGCATTAATGGAGAAGTTCAGGTTTTTTTTACGGGGAAGAAGAAGGGGGGTTAAGATAGAGCAAGAGGTTGGAAGTTGGAAGGGTAGAAAGAATATAAATAAATAAGAGAAAAAGTACCGAAAGCATAAAGACTCTTAACATGAATGGGGTATATAGGTAATTTAATATTTTTAGGGGTAAAAAAGTCATCACACTATTTATAAGAGTTTTTTTTGAACTTTTTATTAGGAATGTGTAATTAAAATATTAATGTTCAAAGAAAGCCTTTGTAAAAACGCAAACGAGGACCTTGCCAATAGCGTTGGGCACGGACTGGATCGACAGATGCGGTGGTTTAGCAAATCGAGCCAAGAGTGAGTCGTAGTAGAAAAGTTGTGATGTGTCGTGCTGTCGTGCACATGCTACTCTCTCAGGCCTACCTAAAATTTATAACTCATTTCACGTGTCATGTCAACGTACCTTCTTAAGAAATTTTACGCTATTTATTTTTGATGTAAACTTTAAAATCAGCAACCCGGCTAGTCCTGCACGAGCTTGTGCTAGCGGTGAAAATAGTCCATGCGAATTACACGGTTTATCGGCGTGTCTCTCGTGTTGTACCGGGCTTGTGCCGAGTTGGGCCAAATTCGTGATGATCGTCGTGCCAACCTGGCGCGTACCCACTCTATCTGCCGGTATCTATATAACTCGTCACGTGGAAAATATTAGTACTCACACCACCATTTTCGAAAACAACGACAATTGAAGTTTTTCCAGAAGAGAGAGAAGCAAATCAATCATAGTTTCTGCAACTCAACAACTCTTCCTAACCAAATCATATAATTTAAGCGCGTATTTCAAGCAAAATTTCTCAAATAATTCAACTGAAAAAAAGCCCTAAATTCTTCACCAATCATCATCTTCTTCTTCAGATGAAGAACAAATTTTCAGAGAATTCCTAACAATGGCTGCCCAGGCAAATGAACCACAACAAGTTGAACAAAGTCAGAAGAGAGAGAAAGAGGCGAAGAACATTCCCGAAGCTCACGAGGAAGAAGAGAGGAGAGAGAATGAGGTGAAGAATGAAGAATTAGATCCAGAGTTGTTTAGCTGTTTACTTCAACCAATTGCCGCTGATTCCGATCTCGATTACATTGGAATTCGTCGCCTTCTTCTCCATCGCAAAGCTCAATCCGGTGCTCATCGAAGAATTGTATGATTTTCTCCTTTCAATTGATTTCAATTTTTCAATAATTTGTGCAATTTTTCATTTGATTTGATTTAGTTAAAATTTCGGCTATTGAATTAAATTGCTTTGTTAGTTATTTTTTTGGTGTTTGATATGTGATCTAGGTCAATTTTTAATTGTACTTGAGTGTAATTTGTGTTGATGGTTCTCTTCTATGTTTATGCATTTAGTTAAGAATGTATGCAGTTCATGTTTTAGCAATGCTACAGTTTTCATGAGGAAATACCGAAATAGCGCGATAAAATAATTTTTTTTTTTGTTGTATTGTGGCTAATTCGCTCATATTAATGTCTATATTTACCATTTTGGCTTGTAATTATTGGATTTTTCACTGATTTAAAAAAAAAAAAAAGAACTTAATATGTTTGTTTTGTTTTTGTTTTTGTGTTTGCATTGTAGGAATGGAGATGTAATGGTAAAGGTTATGTAGCATATCGCAATTTTATCAATCGACCACGGAATTGGGAGAGCCTCCTTTTGCAAAGCCAATCAAGCACTCCTAATCAAAGGTTGCTGAATTTTAGCATTGTTGTAGATTTTTTTATTGCGCACTGAGTGCTCTAATATATTTGACATGGATCTTGTATTTATACTGAAACTGCAATATGTTATTGAAATTATTAGTCTATTTTTTCATATCCTATGCTATAATAAATCATTAGTCATCTGATACTATGACTCCCCTCCCCACTCCCATGGACATGTAAGTGATGTAACTCAACTAGTATCCAACCTTGATTGGCATACTAGTTATTTAAGAAAAGGATACTGGCCTTTATCTGCTCTCCAAACCCCACTGTTATTTCCTTAGATTGCAAACAAGTAAGCATGCCATGGTCTGATTTACTAGTTTCAAATTTAAATTCATGTTTCCACACAATTCTGACATCAGGTTCATTTACTGGTTGATGCATCAGTGGACGATGGGTTGCATCTCCAGGTCCACTCTCTCTTCTGTTGGAGGTGGAGAGCATGAACTCTAGCAGGGTATGTGAATGTTATATCCCCTTTTACTTTCGTAATTTTTACCTTCATTGTGGTATGGCTTGCTGAAACTTGTGAGACACCAATCCTGAATTCCCAATATTTTTATACGTAACTCTTTCTGTATTGGAAAAATGCACTACACACTTCTGCTGTGGAACATCATACATATGTTTGGAAAAGGGAAGTAAGGAAAAGGCTCTTTATTCCTCGAGAACCTGCATTAGGTAATCATTAAACTCTTCAATACCTTCAAAATTTTCCCTATGCCTCTATGAAGTCTCCCTCCTGAAGAAGATAAGGAGGCAATTGTGCAGAGCTTTATCCTGAAATAACAGAAAGATTATTACTGCTGACTCTTAACTTGATGCACAATGACAGGCTGGCACTTAGTGCTTCAAAATATATAAGGGCACTTTAACGAGCTATTTTATTCTATTTTGTTTTACTCAAATTAATGCCATAGCCAAAGAAGAGTATAATTTCTCTAACCCATTATTTGTAGACAATAGTAATCAATCATACATCTTTCCAATTGTAGGTAGAACACATCTGGGATAAACCATGCTCCCAGACACAAAACATTGTGACATTAATGCTAGAAATTGAGCTTTTTTTCATTATGTTTTACATTTTTTAAAGTTGATTCTTTCTTGCTATTGTAGGGCCTGCACGGTAACAGCCAAGCAAGAAATAGTTTCAGCTCCAGTACTAGTGACAATGATCATCGCTCTGACCGATCACGAAGGAAAGCTGAACCTGCTTATTCTTTTGTAGGAATGCACTGTATCTTTGATCAGTGCAAAGTTGCAGGTGATCATTGCTCTTTTGTTCTTTTGAGGAGTCTTGTATTAGTAAAGTTATAGAATTCTTGCTTATTGGTCTTATATGCAGTTACTGTACTAAAGTTCGGGCACATGAGTTCTGATTTGCTAGCATATGGAGCAGGCGATGGATCTCTGACAGTTTGCTCTGTTTCAGACCCTCCTTCAGTTACAAAAGAACTGATAGGGCATACCAAAGATGTCACAGGTTAAGTGAACTGGTACTGGTTCTCCAGTCTTAAACTTGTTTTTTTGTGCGCTGAGTAAACTTTATTTTTCTCCCCTTCCTATATTCCCCAAATTTTCTCGGAGTAGACTTGGTCTCTTAGAACTGAACTGTTTGTATAGCATATGAAATATGTGAAGGGTGGAAAGGTTTCTGTGGAGTGTGGATAGATTTGCAGTTAGGTGTCTTCCAGTGTTGATGCTTGATGTTAATATACCACATAAATTGTTCTACTTACCGACGGTTGAATTTGTTTGAATAGAAGAGTATGTCCTGAGCAAGTACTTTGTGTAGGTAGAGCTACATATGTAGGCAATGGATAAGTGGTTCAAATGAATTCTTGTAATTAAAGTAGTTTGCCCAACTGAGATAAACAATTGTTCTTTTGTCCAGATTTTGACTTCACAGCCAACAACCAATACATTGCGTCAACATCACTTGATAAATCCGTGAGAGTGTGGGACCTATCTAAAGGTGTATGCATTCGGGTTATTTATGGGGTCTCAGTGCAATGGTGTATACGTTTTCACCCTGTAAGTGCTTCCGTTAATGTATATATGATTATTATCTAGTTCTTGGGTAACATTATTCCTTTGCATCTAATCCTTTAGTCTAAGCATGCTCACTAAAATGGCATGGTAGTTTATTTTCCTTCTATTGCCCTTTTGTGTGTTTCACAGTGGTATACTGATATGTGCTACTATGGTGATTGAAGATGTTGCTTACAAACCCTGGCTGTATATTTTCAACAATTAGTATTTTGTTGGTGTCTTTTTATATCAGATGTTCCTTGATGCAGGTGAACAATAACTTTCTTTCAGTGGGGAATGCAAACAGGGAAATCAATGTGAGTTCTGTTATGTTACCCGTACACCCGAAATATGTGTAAAACAATGACTCCTTTTGCTATTTCCTAGTAGATATTTGGCTCACTAAATTTAATAGCTTCCTTTTGTGATAACTGATAAGCATGTTATTAAGCATCCTGCATTTGTTGATCCTCAGACGCATTAGGAATTCCCTTCGTGCGGAGGGTTTCCTAATATTTTCTCTTTTTCTTACCTTTATAAAAATATTAAAAAATCCTGCATTTGTCGATATCTATCTTATGGCTACTGTATGCTGCTGCAGGTCTACAATTTCAGTACCGGTAGATTGATGCATAAGCTTGTTCTTGATGACGAGGTTACTGCAATGGACCATGATCATACGGGTCAGCTGCTTTTTTGTGGTGATGCTCAGGTAGTCCTTCTTACACAGAAGTTGCTATTGCTGTTCCTAGGAGTAATCCTTGTCTCTTTCATGAATGTAGTTCAGCTGGATGATGTTTGCAGGGATTTATATATACTGTAGGTATGGACTCTCGTACTGGAGCTTTATCTCGTTTACATCGAAATCGGAATGGAAGCAAGAGGAAGTCCCCAGTCACAGTTGTAAAGTATCGAACCTTTTCTTTGTTGGCACGTGGTCCAGTTTTGCTGACTTGCACTCAGGATGGAAGTTTGGCATTCTTCAGGTTTGGATAACAATTGTTTAAACAATCTACTAATTAAATTATTTAAGTAGTTTCTTGTAGAGATGATGATGGCTCTTCTGCAGTGTTGCCCTGGAGGTAAAAGGCTATTTGACAGTTCGTTGCTCTCTCAAATTGACCCCTCGAGTGCATAGAATTCGAGCTTCCTTCTGTCCTTTATTATCCCTTGAGAAGGGAGAGTACATAGGTTTGTTTTCTCTTCTTGTCTCCTTTTTTTTTTTCTTGCTTGATAATTTGGCTTTTGTAGCTCAAGCTCCCTTTATGTCCTTTGTGATGTCTATCTGTCGCTCAAGCAAAAAAATTCTGCATCTACCCTTCATGCTCATTTGAAATTTTGTTCTCTGATGAGTTTGTCATCAGGCTGATGGTTATTCTTGTTCATCCTCAACACAACTAGATAGACTTTACCTAGACTGAGGATGGGTCATTTTTTAAATTTATATGAGAACACCTTTTTTTAGGCAATATATTTCATACAGTGTTTGAGCCTTGAAGTGTTAAGAGTTTGTTCAGATTATGATACTACAGCGAAATACCGAGTCTAGTGAACATGGGATTTTTTCTGTGGTCATGTACCCTCTGGAGGATAGCAAATTTCTTCTGTGATTACCTATATGTCTATGTTGCATTGCTATGGCATTTTAGTGCTGCCTTGTATTAGTTATCTGATCTGCTGACACCTCCATTGTAATGATGAAGTTGCTGGAAGTGAGGACTCAAACGTATACTTCTATGACTTGACTCGACCAAGGCACACTTGCGTAAACAAGCTGCAGGTAAATCAAATTCTTTTCACTTTTACCATATAAATATCCTTTATTCCAGTATACTCAGGGAACCATTTGCCAATACAGGGTCACAGTTCATCGGTAATAGGTATCACATGGAATCATGGAGAGAACTTGCTAGCTTCATCTGATGCTGGTGGAACAGTTATAGTATGGAAGAGAGCTAAAACCAGTTAGTACTCTCTTTGGTCGCAAGCTTAGCATTGTGAGGAACATTCACTGTAACGTGCATGTTCATAGAGGATCACCGACGATGCAGAAATGGGCAATCTTGAATTCCTGATTGCTTGATTTGAGTCTTAGAGGCCAGAGTTGTCACATTGTATTGTGATATTATTGAGCTGGAAATCGAGGCTTTCATACATACCAGTTTTCGCTTCATACCATCATTCAATTTATTCCGTTCACACAAAGGCAATATAGGTTGATGCACAGCACAATGTATCTGTTTTTCTTGTTATGGACCTCAAACAATGATTTCATATTTTCATGAGACAAGTTAGTAAATATGACCCAAGAGTTGTGTTGTTGGTATGATACAGATCTGAGTTTTGGTTGTAAATTTGTATTGGATATGATTGTTTTGCAAAAATGAATATTTGCCCACTTTTGGGGGTGTTTTCTTTCCAAAATGGTTTACTAGCAAGTTTTTCCTGGAAATGGATCATTTTGTCTGTGGAGACTTCTTGCCCACTCCTGGAAATGGATCATTTTGTCTAATCATTTTAATTTTGAGTGGCCTCTTGAGAATCCTTATGCATACGAGATACAATTACGTGGTGAATAGTATGAGGATCTAGGAGTGGAGGGATGGTTAGTCTCTCCATCCCCCCCCCCTCCGAGAGATGAGGGTTCGATCCTCACCCCTCTCTTGTGATAGGAGGGGACACCCTGTATCTTACAAAAAATACAGTGAATAGTACTTATAACAATAACATTAAATAAAATAAAAAAAATACATAAAGGTATATTTTCACAATCTTACATGATTATTTTAAAGGGTGCAACACATGTCATAAATGACACCGACGACCCTTTCACGGTGAAATCTATAGTTGCTGGTGTCTAGCGTTGCACCTTGCATCCTTTGCCATAGGGATTTGTTAAACATCGCCCACAAATTACTACATAAAGCCCACAAAATTCACTTGGTTTGCCAAAATTGCCCTTGACCTTAAAAAAAAAAACTCACACTCTCATCACTCACACTCTCATTGCTCATCTTCTTTCAACCTCTCTAAAAAAAAAAAATTCAAATAACGGCAATGTCGAGGCGGCAAGGCAAGGAATTGGCGGCGGCGGCGGAGGGAAGGATGTCCCAAGGAGGAAAGGTACATTTTGTTAAAAAAAAAAAGGGAAAAACCGCCGTGACGACGGTGGGGCGCCCTGGCTGGACGCCCAGCCAGCGGTGGTGGCGCCAGCTGCAGACGCCGCCACCAGTTGGCTAGCGCCTGGGCTGGACGCCACAGCCACGGCTGCGGCGTCTTGAATAAACGCCACAACCGTGGCTATGGCGTTCAGCCCAGGCGCCAGCCAACTGGTGGCGGCGTCTGCAGCTGGCGCCACCACCGCTGGCTGGCCGTCCAGCCAGGGCGCCCCCCCCTTTTTTTTTATATTTTTTTAAAAAATTGTTTTTAATTTTTTTTTTTTTTTTTGTGTAATATATTTTTGAATTGTTTTTATATTTTGTTGTTTATTTTTATAAATTTTTTCAATTTCGTTGTATTTTTTCTACGTTTATATTTTGTTTACAATTATTTGAATTTCCCTGTGAGGGACCCATTGATGCATCACATAGTCCACCAGTGCCGGACACCACTGGTACGAATCCCTGAAGTTAGCCAATGCTCGCTCATACGCTTCCTCTGTGGTAGCCTGTAGGATCTTCCGCCACTTACCATTCACCAATCTCTCTGCCATTTCCAAATTCTTCTTGAAAAGGTTGTAGGCTTTCACTTTCACGCAGTTGTTGATGTGCCATGTGCACAATAAGTGGTTCGATTCGGGAAACAGCTTTGCTATGGGGGCAAAGAGACCTCCCTCACAGTCGCTGACGATGGCTGCTGGATGAACATTAGGCCCGATGTAGTTTCTCAGCTTCTCCAACACCCAATAATAACTTGGAGCCGTCTCATCCCTGATGATTGCATGACCAATCAGAAAGTTCTGGTTCGTTGGAGCCATCCCAACTATCTCAACCAGTGGGAACTTGTACTTGTTTGTCTTGTACGTTGAGTCGATCAAAATCACAAATGGCCAAGACTTGATCATATCAGCACAATCAGGATGCACAAGGAAAAGATGAGTCACCTCCGCTGTATCTTCATCAGAATCAAACCAGAACAGGTAACCACGTGATTGTGCCTGGTGTAGCAGCTGCTGTATAGGGTTCCTTCCCTCTGACCGTTCAAACCTGAGTTGCTGTCTGACGTTGTAGATGTGTCTTCGGTTTGGATGGTCTTCTGGAAATTTCTCTAACACAGATGCTAATATTTTAGCAGGCTTCACTTGAGCATCACTCATTTCTTTCACAATTAGTTTCGCAGCAGGACTTAAGCCGCTCAGTTGTCGATGACCCTCTTCATATACTATCATCTCATGGTTGTGATACCCCCATTTAGAGTAACCAATCACTTCCCAACCGTCACGACTCCGTAGTTGTCGAACCTTTACTCTGAACTCACACCCACAACCTTTCCGCTTTGTATCAAACCGAGTGGTTGTACGAAAATCTCTTTCTTCTCTTTTGCGATAACGGTCACATCTCAAAATGCGATCCATTCTACCATCCCGTTGAGATTTATGAGTTACTACTACCAAGCAAAATCCAGCTGCAATTGCAACCTGTTTTGCCCAATCAATCGCCTGTTGAGCTTCTTCGAATGGACCATCATGTCCAAATATCCCACTGTAATCATTTCCGTCTCCACCATATTCCTGCATCAATTATATATTACAATAAATACATTTAACGGATAATACATTTAATTTCTATATTTACACAGAATTAACACAAAAAAAAGCATAATTATATATAATCAAACTTAATTTTTATAAAAACCCAATTCGAATTTTCAAACTAAATTTAAAAATATACCATTTCGAATTTTCAAATTTAATTTTAAAAAAACCTATTTCGAATTTTCAAATTTAATTTAAAAAAAAACCCATTTCGAATTTTTTTAAAAAATCATTTTCGATTTTTTTTTTAAAAAAATTAAATAAAAAACAACAACAAAATCAAAAAAGAAAAAAAAAAATTAATTTATAAGGGTGGCGTCTGCCAGGGCTGCCACAGCCACTGGATTGGCGCCTGGCAGGGCCGCCTCACCCAGTGGAGTGGCGCCTGCCCAGGACGCCAGTCTGGTGGTCTGGGCGTCTGGACGCCACTCTGGTGGTTCTGGCGTCTGGCTTGGACGTCCAGGCTACGGTTTGGGCGTCCACCCTAGGCGCCGGAGCCACTCCGACGGTAAACCGTGAATTTTAACGGTGACTTACCTCGTTTTCCGTCGACGACGACGTACCTCCGGCGTCCCCCGCATCTCCGGCCTGCCCTCCGGTCTCCCCCGGCGAGCCAGTACGGCTCCACATTTTTTACACCGAGATTATTTCAATTTTAGAAAAAGGGCATAATGGTCAACCCATATCATATTTGTGGGCTTTATATGGTAAATTGCGGGCGATGTTTAGCGTTTCACTTGCCATAAGTTGAGATTTTTAACTATTACAAGTAGTTACATGTAGTGCTACTGGGTGCACCGTTCACTCAAACCATAATTCATTTAATTCGTGATGTTGGGTCACTTGGGTGCCCCTAATAGTGTAGTTCATGCTGGCTGCTGCAAACATAATAAACATGGACTAAATAATGTAAGATAAAGATTCACATTGTTAAGGTTGCCTGCCATCTTCAAAATTGACACTTTTCCATTTCTCTCAACATACTCTCTCCAGCAAAACTGCATTCTTGACTCAGGTCTTCTCAATGTCAACACCATTGAAGAAGATTAAGCTCAAACTCATTAACAATGGCGAAGAATTTCTTGAAGATGAAGTAGAAGACAGATTAAGCAATCTCCCAGATGACCTCCTTATCACCATTCTCTCTCTCCTCCCCATCAACTCCGCCGCAACCACCTCCGTCTTATCCCACAGATGGCGCTACCTCTGGACCAACTTCACCCACCTCTCCTTCCCATGACAGTACAAACCTCGACCTTCTTTCGACAATTTCCAAACCACCATTGATCTCATACTTTCCCAGATTTCTTCCCCCAAAATTCATACCCTTTCCCTCTCAATCCCTTCCCCTTCCCCCCCTTTTGATGATCAGTTCCTTTTTCGCTGGATTTCCCAGATTTGTCCTCTCAATCCTCAGGTTTTTAAGGTATCTGTATTTGTGATCACCATTTTCAAATCCCTAATTTTGTTTTTCAAACTCAATCAATTGAGCAGCTTCAGCTTGATTTTAAGTTTAGATTTGATGGGAATTCGTCGATTAATCTTCCTAATTTGAAGAAGCTTTGGTTGAGTGTAGATGAATCACAACTTGATTTTATGGGTACCCTTTTTAAGTCCATTCCTAATTTGGAATATTTGTCTTTGGAGTTGAATTATTTGGAGAGGATTCTTATGTTGTTGATATTTTATTACCCAATTTGTTATTCTTGAGTTTGAAATTTGACACAGATGATTGCAAATTTGTGATTGATGCACCTAAGCTTGAGGAATTTCATTTTCATGGTTTTTTAGTTTTCTGTCACTTTGTTAGCAAGATGAGTATGTTACAAATAGCAAAAGTTAGCTTAATTGTTGGTGATAGATATCTTGCCCAATTACAAGGGATTTTTCAAGGGATTTCTTGTGTTAGGTCTTTGACTTTATCTTATGGTGAACCTTTTGACCTCAATTACTTAAATGCTATTGATGTGCCAGTCTTTCGTAATGTCGATCGTGTTTGCTTGTGTTGTATCTTTATGGATCAACATCACCAGTTACCTAGCCTTTTTTTGTTGGCTAATCTTAAGGAGATAGAGTTCTCAGAGTACATAAGATCGAGCTTTTGTTGGAATTTATGAAATTCATTCTGAGTAATGTAACTGTTTTGGAGAAGCTTTGCATTTCAGTGGAGGAACAATGTGTTGCTCCTGAAGTAGATGGACTATCCTCTGAACTGTAAGGAGCTTTTCCTTCTTTCAAGGAGTTCATTGAATTGTCGGATTGAGCTCTCTGGTGAACACATCGTAGCTTCAAGCAATAGACTTCAGACATTGTGTACTTGCTTATCACTCTGTATGCCACAGCTAAAATCAGGTACACTTCTGCTCGCTATTGTGGTAAAATAGGCTTCATTTTCTCGCAGAACTTGGTAAATTTATTTCTTCGTTCATGTATGTGAATGTTTTGCTTCAGGTTATCTTGATTAATATTCGTATTTAGCTTTGATGCTAAACATCTGCAATCTTATGCTTCTTTTATTTGATGTTGATCACAGTCGCTAGTCAACAGTGTTACAATTTGTTTTGGGTAGGTAGATTTGTAAGTAGATGGAGGGAAGGGTTAGTGATGAATATATTTTCCCTTGTTGGCCTTGGAAAGCACATTTGAGAACTTGTACCTTTATACGACAATA